GTGTAAGAGAAGCCGTTCGCATTCCTGGATGTATGCGTCACGGTTGCGCTCCACATCCGTCGTCTTGAGCAACTTGAGCGCTCTGGACTTGGTCTCTTCTGCCTGGTCGGCAATAGCCCTCAACTGGCCGATCTCCGGACAATCGAACCCCAGGTTATCAACCTGTCTGAGCAAGTCGTAGACCTCCTCCAGACCGCCGTCTTGCCTGTCATCGTCGTTAGTCCCCGTAGAAGGCCGACCGCTGCGAGACTTTCTGGAGCGTTTCCGGCTTTGTTTGCGAATTATGAACGAATTTGCACCTTCTGTCCACTCATTAGCGCGATACACGCACTTCTTGAGAGTGGCCAAGTCAGGGAGAGGATGGTTTATGCGCTCGCCCTCTGCCAGCAGCGCTCTAAGAGTACGCAGCTGAGGCCGCGCAGTCTCCGCGAGAGTCTTGTGCAATTTCGCCCGCCAGTTATCCGGAATAGCGGCTCGCTCCTCCACCTTCGCTTGTGTGTCGAGTAGTGCATCATCCGAGAAGCGCAGGCGCAGAACGCGACGGCCGGCCGGACAACTGCACAGATCGTCGACGTGATCAATACACGCAATCTTGGTGGTGCAGGGACATGTGATTTGCGATAAGTAGCAGAAGGCCTTACAGACGGCGCACTGGTACTGATCCTCCTGACGGTCTTCCTCTTCCAAGACTTCGGAAAGCCCGAGGGCACGGGCGCGCTGCCGAGTGTCTTTCTCACGTTCTGTCATCTCCTTTAAGCTGTCATTGAGCCTGATGCATAACGCGGGTCAGAAACTTCCACGCCTCAATCGCCGACCGAAGCATAACTTACCAAATTGCAGTCTGAATAGACTGCGACTGTTGCGTGATCGTGACAAGAAGTTCGTCGTGAGAGAACACGGGCAACTTGCGATGCTCGCGGTATCGCTCGACACAAGCAAGTCCATATGGAAGCCAATCCGGTAAGGCGAAATTTACCGCTTCATTGAAATTGAGCTGAAAGAAAAAATAGAACGCTGTCAAAACGGCGTATTCCTAAAAATAAATGGACAGCATCTTACCCCGTGATTGAAGCCAGCGTGGTACGCCTTAGGATAGGTGATCACAAACTCGCCGGCCCTCTGGTTGCAGGCATAGACGCGCACACCCGCTTCCGCGAGTCGCTTCGGGTTCATAAGCGTTACGAGCTGGAAAAGCAGATCCGGCTGCGCCTCAAAAAGGTCCGGAGCCTCACGCTTGATAGCTGCTTCGAATTTCTCCGCGTCCTCTCCCGGGATGCCATACCATGTCTTTGTCTCGCCCCAGTGCACTAGCATGCGATGGTCAGCAGAAGGCTCCAGTTTCTCACTTATAGAGTTGACACTTACTAAAATTGATGCTGTACGTGTAATGATCCTATGCAACCGTCCTGGTCAGATAGATTCCAGAATGTGAAAACTATGTGACAGTACCTCGTTGTGCCAGCAGAAAGTAGAGAAGACCATACCAACGTACGTCCACGGCACTGTCATGCCGGAAATATCGGACTTGATGTATCGGAGCAAGGAGTCGTTCACGATAGAAATGTTGTTGAGATTCCACGGGTCTTTCGAGTATGAATCCAAGGGATGCGTCTCAAGAGTAGGCATTGCGCTAGAGAATGTATCAGGCCTGAACCTTGCCTGAGGAATCTGAGACATTACTTACCTGCCGTGAGTGGTAGAGTGGACGTCTGCACCATATTCAACCTCCACAGTCTCGTGGGACGACTGAACAAGCCGCCAAAATTCCTCTTCCACGTCATTTTCGGATACCAAGACACTATCAAAGTTGTTGACCGTAGGGTCCCGTGCAGATTTGTCTGCCTGAGGTGGGGGATGGGACGTAAACCACATCTTACGGAACGCCTGGTCTCGGGCCTGGAAACTAGATAGACTGTGCTCCTCTCCTTCATCGAAGCCGAAGTCACCACCGGTGCCGAAAAGGCAGGTATGGCAGAACCACTGTCCCTTGGGAATGGCTGTGAGGGGAGGATCAAGACAAAAGATGTGGAAACCTGACAACCCCAGAACCCATCAGCTCTCTGCCGCTAAAAACTGAACAGAAAACGGGGACGAACCACAATCACAGCCATCGCAAAGCAGCATCTCCTCGCCACGATTCTTCCTATGGCACACTTCGCAACTTGCCTTTAGACGCGATTAGCGGTACTTCTACCATGCTAGTCCGACCTCATACCTCTTGAATTGGCTCAGCCTTCTCCTCGCTCTTATCATGGGGGCCAGGGGATGATATATCCGGGGACGGCATTAGCGTACTCGGCACAGCTAGAATATTTTGTCACGTCCAATCCTAGCAGCATTCACACAAATCAATGGCATAGAACTTACGAGTCATGTACTCTTGGGAACCCATCCGCTTGCTCCTCCTAGTCCGGCTTCCATCTCCGTTAAGACCTCTGCTATCACTCTCATCCGGGGGCTCCGACAAGGGGCTGGATGTGGCGGTCAGAGGACTTGAAGGGGGTGTCGTATCATCTGTCACAGCTGAGGTGCTCAGGCGACTCAGCTTGGAGCCAGTCTGAATGTTCATGTGCGTCTTGAGCTGAGGATCCCGTGGCGTAGCCGGGGAGAGCGAGGAGGAGCTGCGTACCCGCTCCTGGAAATGCTCGTATGGGAGGATAACGCGAGTGTAGGAGTTCTTGATCTGTGTCGACAGACCAGGGATGCCGCCGTATCCGAGGATCCTACCAAGATCGGCCCATTTCTTCGCCTTCGTCACCTGATTACTTTGGTCAGCGCGCTGCCGCAGAGAACGGATGGAAGACATGATTACCGCTTCGTAGCCACCGAGCTTCTTCACCTCCTTCCGCAAGAGCCACAGATCCAGGGCTTTGTGGTTGATAGTCGGCACACACACCCGTGGATTGCCTTGCTGCTTGTGGAAACGGTATAGCTGTTCCAGGTAATTTACCTTGGCCCTCGACGACGCCTCGATGGAGTTCAAGCGCATGAGGCGAGTCTTGAAACGGAAGGCCTGTTGTATGGCGACGGTACCATGTCACAAAGGATACAGACGAACGGGAAGAACATCACGCTACTGACCTCGGTGTCGGTGACGAACGGCATCTTCCAGCCCTCTGGAGGAACAACCTTGCACATACCATAGTCTTTCGCCACATCCGATATTGATCGAATATAAGTCATAGGATCCTTGAATTCTTCTGCAGTGGGGCAAAAGACAGGGCAATCTTCCAGTCCAAAGGGGCGAGGATCAGCCTTGGGAGGCACGTTTCTAGGAGCGGTCGTCTTTACGGACGACATGTTGAGAGCTGGCGAGATAGGAATGGGCGGAATCTCAGGCTAAGAAAGGACTGCGTCAGAAATATTCCGAGCACATTTTGCCCACGTGTGGTGGAGAATCACCTCCGACCGGGTCTGTAATGCTGCCAGGGCGTCGGTCTTGGATTTGCGGGGGGCTCTCTTCATCTGAGTGGCCTGTTGTGCAGATGAAACATCGGCTGCGGTCACGGTCGAGTCGTCGCGGCTTTCAATAGGTACTGCGCCTTCCACATGAATATCGAGGCATGAAGTAAATGTGGCAGGTTGTTTAAGGGTGGCATCAGAGGGCATGGCGTTCGAAGCCATGTGGCCTGGTGTGTCGCTTCTGGAACGAGGCGATTTACCGCGACGAGAAGGGGTGCCGCGCGGGCTTGCCGCCGACGGACTGGCTGCGTGCATGGGGGCAACAGCGAGACTTGCAGGAGTTGGAGACAAGAGAGGAGGAACGCTGTGAGTAAGATAAATAAGAGGTTCTGGAGTGTGGGAGTACGGAGGACGCTGCTACGCGAGCTTCTTGCTTCTCCGTGGGAATCCGCTGTGTCCTTCTGAGCCACAAGAAATGAGAGATCCTGATACACTCTGCCACGCACCACTTCGCTGCTGTGTCCGCTGTGCGCCTCGTGCCCGACCGGACCTTCAACGAGCAAGCCTCTTTCTTGTTTCTATGCCAGCGTTTCAGTAATAATGGCTGCAATCTCGGTGTCTTTCGGTCTGCAGCTCAGATGCCGGCCGAGCCATCAACATTCAGAAGCTTAGCCCTTTATGGCAACCATCGGACAGAAGCCCTTGACGATGCTTCCGGTCAATTTCGCGTTTAATTGTTCACCGGCGGTGCTCGTGCCTTACCTTCCTTCCGCACCCATAGTGACTGTGCACGGCGCGGCCAGCAAACGTTATTAGGGCTCTGTTGTATCTTGCCAGGTGATTGATACCGCGGTGAGATATTTCTATCTCTGGGATCTACATCGTTCGGCTCTTCCCGGTCCAATTACCCCGCCTCCCCCGCCTCGGAGATTGCAATCCCATATATGATGGACACACAAAACGAACATACAGCTTAATGACGGTTGCATTATCATTCTAGGCTTTGGGAAATACCTCATTCTCTGACAGCTTGGCACGCACGGCCTTCGCATAGTCTCGATCTGCCTTGCATCACTCTGTTGGTCACGGAGACCGAAAAATCGCTTCGACATCTGGCATGTCTTTACAGGTCCTATGGATATTATAAAAGCTAGGTGATGGCTTATCATAATTATTGAACCGCTCCAAATATATCCGCAGCTCCCTCAAGGTCACTTCGTGACGGGTGAGCCTTGGGCCGTTAGCTGATGGTATCAGCGCTCACCGTGGCCGAGTTCTCAGCTGTCCAGAACAAGTATCCGGCACAGGAGACAAGTAGAGGGCTTCTTCTGCACTAGGCATACTTCCAGTCTTGTCCAGACCATCGGTCAGCATGACGCCGTAGACCTCAACACGCACATCAGGTGGCCAATGTTCGGAATGTGATGCGTCGAAATGTTCTTTGGAAGTCTCAGAACCGGATGGATACGCTGATCACAGCGGTGAGCCAAGCGGATGGAGCAGCCGAGAGGTTTAATCACTAGACTCCATTATTATCTCCACACGATTCAAACTTATAATAATTGGGTTGCAAAGAACAAGTTAGTTTCCGGGGCAAAAGCCCCCGGCGAGACTCGAACTCGCAACCTCCAGATACCATACATGAAATAGAAGTCTGACGTCATAACCATTAGACAACGGGGGCTCATGTTGAACTGCCTTTCTTTTAACTATAATTTATATCAATCTGGGTGGCTAATTCATAAATATTACTTGCAGAGGTACTCCATGCAATAAGACAAATGGATAATAAGGTATATATGGTGTTATATGCGACGACGAGCATGAGCTTGCTTAGAGATACATGAATGGTGCGAAAAGCAATGCAAGACTCGGGGAATGTGAACAACCAAAGCACAAGAACCACTACTTCTTAGCCCTCAATTGGGCTCTCAGGTTCCCATTCTCCGTCTGCATCGAGTTCAGCTCGTCCAGCAACGCCGCTCGCTGAGATTGCTCGGAAATCTGAACGGCCTCGAGCTGATCTTCAGCTTTCTGCAGAGACGCCTTGAGCTCAGCCATCTGTGCCTCCATCTGCCGCCGGACGCCCTCCGATGCAGACGCAGCTTCATCAGCCAGGGTGAGGGTCTGCGCGCTGAGAGCGTTGTTGGCCTGGGTCAGCTGGCGGCACGTCTCAGCTTGCTCTGCCGCGTGCATCTCGACCTCGGCCTTCTGAGCAGTAATGCGCTCGACGGTCTCCTGAAGCTGCTCAACCTCTTGTTGCCTACAGTCATCGTTGCGTGAGGGACAGAAACTGATATCATAAGCTCCAGACACTCACAAAGCAGTCTGTCTCGCACTCGTAGTTGAATGACGCTCTTCAAGCGTCTTGACCTGCTTCTGATACGTCTCAAGCGCATGATTACTCTCCTGGGCAAGCTTCTGCGCCCTCTCCGCATTCTTCTTCAGCAAATCATGCGCTTGCGCAAACCGAATCAACCGCTCGATCAGAGCCCGATCGTCCTGAACGAGTGCTTGCACTCTAGCAGCCAGCGCCTCGACGCTGAAGGAGCCTTGGTTCGACGAGCCCTGGTTGCTAGAGCGATTGTCGTATAGCGTCTTCAACGAACGCACGTCCATATCGGAGATCGACGTAGCGCCAATTTTCGGGCTGCCTGGCGCGCCCGTCGGGGAGGCAAGTCCAGTCCGGAAAGTCGACGCTCGAGGGCCCAATTTGCTTGCGCGTGCATCGGGAGAGGGAAGGATGGTCCACAAGGGCTGGAGTACGGCCATGACCTTCGCAGCATCACCCGTATACTCGACAGCAGTAGGCGTGTCTGAGCGTTCCTGTTCAAGTAAATATGTAAGAACCCAGCCTTGTGTATACGAAACATCAGTCCTACCCTGGAGCCGCCTCCGGCAGCCGACAGCTGCGATCTAATCTCTTCCCGCTCGCGCTTGACCCGGTCCACTTCTTTAGCCAGATTGGTCGCCTTGCCATTGGCTTCCTGGACAGTTTCCTCCAGCTTCCGCTGGGTGGTCGTCCACTCCAACTGAGCGAGTCGACGCTCCTCCAAATCACCCGCGATTGCCTCTAAGTACATCTCAATTGAAGGAGAGAATGACGGGTCTGCAGAGGCGACTTCGATGCCGTAATCATTCGTGAGCTTGTGCAGAGCTTCCCGGTACCTGTCCAGTTCGTCTTGCAGATCCAGCAGAGCTCCCTGCGCTTCTCCTGTTTGAGTCTGGGTCTGCAGTCTCAACCGTAGATCCTCGATCTCCATATCTTTCCGCTGACACTCTTGTCGGGCGCGCACCAAGCTATCTTGTAGCTCCGACGTCTCCCCACTTTGTTCTTCCAGCACTTCGAGCCTGCTCTCCAGCATCTCTATTTGCCGGTCACGCTCCGCTAACGCAGCTCGATCTCTTTCCCAGGCTTCCTTCCCCTGGAGTAGCTCCTGCTGCATAGCCGCAACCGACTCCTCGACATCCTGAATCTCCAACTGCGTTGACGTTTCTAACTGCTCCTTCTCAAGTTGCAGAAGAGAAAGTTCCTGCCGCGTCTGGGCCTGCTTCCGGTTTGCAGCGGTTAGACTCTCTGTCACAGCCTTCAGCTTCGCTTCGAGGGCGATGATGTCGGCCACTGTAGGTGGTGGACGAGGAACTTGGGGTACGATCGCATCCGCATGTCCAGCAAAATAATGAGCTCCCTCGAAGCGCGCTTTGGACGACACGCTGGTCTGAGCGGAGGACGTCGGGCTGATCGCAGTACTCCGGTTGGGAGTATCGTAGCCTGAAGTATCAGAATCAGCTGCGTCCCCATTCGGTGCATGCTTCTTCTCTAAAGACCGGACGGAAAGGCCCAGGACACCTGCGCGGTGCTCCAGTAGCTTGCGACTAATATCGTTTGCCTTCTCTGAGACGCGCCACAGTTCCCTCTGGGCTACCTCAACCTTGTGATTTGCAGCGTTTAGCTGATCTTGGGTTTGCTTGGACATTTTCTTATTCGCCGCATTGACCTTGGATAGCGAGACAGCTGCGTCTCGGATCTTCGATTCCAGAGTGAGTTTCTTGTGCAGTGCGACGAGCCTGGACGTGAGAACTTGTTGCTCCTATGAGTGAAGAGCAGTGTAAATGCAGACAGTCGTAACAACCAAGCGACGACTGACCTTCTTGAGCTCTTCAACCTCCTCCGCACTGAGAATAACATAATTTCTGCTGTCCACGACAGCCTCACTCGCAAGGAGATCCATAAGCAACTCATCCTTGGTATTGAGCATACCCGATGTCCGTTTGAAGGTCTGGTCGAGCTGGAGGATAGACTTTCTGGACAGGTATGATTTACGATTAGGCAGGGCGGGTCGGACGGGCGATGAGGAAGGTCCAGCTCCAGGAGACGAAGGTAGTGACTGGCTTGGTCCCCCAGGAGTTGTGGCGGGAGACGATGCAGGTACGGAACCACGGCTACGACTTGGGGACAATATAGACGAGGTGTTAGACGTAGGACGCGTGGACTGTCCACCCGGCGAGTCCTCGGATCCGTCCTCAGCAACAGGTCGCTGTTTGTCCTTTCGTAGGAACAAACCGACTGTGGTGGTGTTTGGACTGCCTAAGGGGGAGTCCGGCTGCGATCCGGTAGGACTCGGTGGCCATGACGGCTTTGCTATTGACAGCGGGGGCGTGGGCTGAATGGGAGGGGGTGTCGGTGTCTCTTGCGGTGGTGATGGCGTCCCGTTCCCCAGTCCACCTCCCAGAAATCTGCGTACGCCGTTCATATGTGACAAGTCGACCTAAAGAGCGTAAGAGAGAGCAGCCAGCTGCCGAGGGTAGAGGCAATAGAGGTTGACGACAACTCAGGCTGTTACGTTTGGCCACGGAACGGAAGCATTCACAGCGCTATTCTGGTGACTTGCCATCGGAATTCGCCGTGTATATTTTGGCCTTTCGTCCTTTCCACTGCTACAGCCTGCTGAGCATCCTCTGCGCTGTTGAAACCGTTGCTGGCGTCGGCTGAGTCGTCTTTAATAGCACCCCTGCAAACTTTTATCCATTGACCTCACGCGCCGACGACTCGCCGTTCCGATTCCGTCACCGTATCCACGCTTTACAAACCTGCCCTCCGCTCTCTCAGCTGCATGCAGCATGTAACCATTCATCGCACACTTCACCATTTGAGACGCTGCTGTAAACGCCCGGCTCAGTTGTTCTCGTCGACATGTCCTTCACCTTCAAATGGCCCAGATTCTCCGATCAGTTCCATGCAGACGCGATTCAGATGCTCGACTCGGCCCTGAACAAGGGAAACAAACCGCCCGTCATTGCTGATAAGATAGAGGTGGTCGAGTTGGAAATGGGTACCCAGGTGAGCCGTTGTCTATCGGATCTCTTCCGCTGTTGCACATTTAATTGGTAGACTTCTTAGCCACCGGAGCTCGAGATCCGTGACATTGGAGAGCTTACCCTGGATCAGTTTCGCGGGATATTTCGTCTCACCTATTCAGGAGATGCGCATCTAGTTCTGCGAACAAAGGTCCAGGTACGTGCTGCGGTCCCATAGTGGTAGAGCTGGAGATTTGAACGTGCACTTCTAGGCAAACCCTCTCAACCACAAACAGCCGGACATCCACTTGATGACCGGTTCGAGGGGCATGCTCACCGCAAAGCAGCCGTTGGTAGTCCCAATGCTTCTGCGACTCTCGCACTTCAAGCTCAGCTCTTACGTCGTCCTCGTGGTGTCCAAGCAGAAAGGCATTACCCTCGTCTTCAAGACAGATCCCTTGCAGAACGTAGACATCAACAGCACTTTCGACTCCATTGCCGTGATTCAAAAATTCATCCAGCGGGAGATCGAGGGTCAGCTCCGCCAGATGTTCAAGGAGGATTTGCCCGGGATCATCCACCGGCTGAGCCAGCAGTGGGTGAAAGCAAAGGTCGAGGCCCCATATCTGTCAAAACGACCGAAAGTGCAGAGCATGGACACAATATCTTTACCTTCGATGTCTTCAGTACCCCGTTACCCTCACCCGGCGAGTGTAGGCATCCCAGTACCCCCGTCCTATCTCCGTCGCCAAACGGTAGGCGCGTCCCCTCTGGTCAGGCCCCGCTCTCCTTCAAGCTCCTCCCTTGCAAGCACCACTCGCGAGACACCCCCTTCAGTCATCTCCTCTCCTCCCGTGCAGATCAAGTCTCCGTCCCAAGACTCCCCGACGTCTTTCCCTGACATCGAGAACTTCGACCCTACCTATGGCCTCCGACCAGAGGGCCTACCTACCAAGAGCCTATTCAACGACTTCGGACGCTTGTTCTCGCCGAACAAAGGTTTAGCTTCGCTATCAGAGGAACAAATGGAGAATGATCTTGACGAAGTCGGATCAGCCTTTGATGTGATTGAGTGGGAAGAGGCGATACCTGACTACACCCCTGCGCCTTCTGTGCAAGACGTAGACGACCCGGCAGAGTACGAGTCGATCCCCGCCGTAGGTGGGGGCGTCATCACCCGCCCTAGAGTCTTCCACTCTCAATCCCAGATTCAGACTCCCAATGTCAGCGCATCGACATCGTCCACATCTCGCAGGCCCAGTCGAACTTCCCCGATAGCTCCGAACTCGAGGATGATGATGTCTACACCGTCGCTACCCCTGTCCGCTCGGCACCTGCGTGCGCTGCAGGCATCCAGCAGCCCGTACGAGTTCAAGCGTCCGCCAG